CACTTGTCATTTAACTGACGGAAGGATTATTTTGGTATCGAAAATGAAAGTTTGAGGATAATTTTGATACTTTTTAAAGTTGAGGGACAATTTTGGTATTAAAATAAAAAGTTGAGGGATCAAAATGGTACTTAAACTATTATATTCTTATGCTACTTTATTAGTTGTGTTATGTTGATGGACATTATGTTTAATTTTTGATAGGGTACTTTTTATTTCCTCTTAGAATAAAGTTTTGTTCCTTATTTGTGTCATATCTAATATTTAATATTTATTTTGGTATATTTTTAATTATTTTCAGTAAATTTTAAATTAATTTCAATTTAGAGATGCACTTCTTAATATTTAATATTTTGGTAGTAGTATTCTAATAGTTCAAAAAAAATTGAAATTATTTAAGAAACTTAATTTTACATAGAAAAAATATTTTTGCTTTAGGATTTAAAAATCTTTAGCAAAAACCCTTCTTAAGCCCCCAAACTTACTCCAAAATAACATTTAAGACCCTAAACTAAAAACGAAGTAGATAAACCCTCAAACTCCACTAATGATGCAAATAAGCCATCTCATTCATGGGTGTCCATGCTTTCAAGGTGATGTTAAACATGAAACATTGTTTGGCCCATTTGTGAGAAGGACTTATTTGCATTGTTAGTAGAGTTGGAGGGCTTATCTACTTCGTTTTTAGTTTAAGGGTTTAAATGCTATTTTGGGGGTAAGTTTGGGGGATTAAGAAGGAATTTTGCCAAAATCTCTCATAAGTGTGTGTTTTGTTTGAAGGAAGGGAAGGATTTGTCAACCAATCGAATTGTAATATTTGAAAATGTTATAATTTAATTGATTATAAAACATATTCCTTTTGCTAATGACCTACATAATGTAGTGGTAATTTCCTTCCAGTAAAAATAAGAGCCCTAAAGTTCGAATCACATGGTATGTAAAAGGATGAGAGAGGGGTTGCCTCCCCATTTATAGGAAGAGAATTTTCAAAAAAAAAAAAAAAAAAACCTCATTTGTTCTCTTTCACCTGTTTACTTCAAACCAAATATAATATTTAAAAGTGGTAATTTCCCTTTCCTCCCATGGGGACTCCATTTAATGTACCCTTAATAATATAATAATTGTTTGTAAATTATTGTAAATTGGGTTCAACCAATACTTTAACAAATTTAAATGTATTTACTTAATTTATCATTCATTTTAATGACAAAACCCAATATTTATTATACAATTCAAGTCTAACTTAACTAAACACATTTGCCATTTAGCATTGTAAAGAAAAAATCATATGATAAATTTTTATAAATTACTGCAAATTGAGATGAGAGAAGATTTTTTTTCTCCTTCAAAAAAACACCATGGGGATGGGGAGTGCTTTTCATCACGTGGGGCCTTACTACCACTGTTAATATCTCCATGCTAACAATTAAAATATTCATACTTAGAGAATTTGAAACAAAATTATCCCTATTGTAAATACTGAAAATACTATTGTTTCTTTTATTGGTTGATTTAGAGTTAACACTAATGTCTTTTTTGATTTAAGGAAGAGGGAAAAAGGAAGAAAAGCTTTTCTATTTGGATAACAAAAAATTGCAAGGGGAATGAGGGAAAATGAGGGTGTCACACCCCAGAACCCAAATCCGAGGCGTGACAGACGCCGTGCACTCTGAGAGGGTCCCCCAAATGCACAAGGTTCGAAACTTATCATATCACAATCTGATACCACCAAAATCTCAAGGTCAAATCTCTTGTAACTAACAATCCATTCAATGAATTTCTAAAATCTCCAATTAAAATCCAGTTTACAAGATCATAATCTATATCTAAAATCTATATCAATCTCGAAATGGCTAGCCTTCTAACTCGTCACTTCCCATGGTTTCCCCGTCCTCGGTTTCACTTCCTGAAATGGTGGACAAGGAAAACTATGAGATAAACTCAGTAAGTAAAATATGGATTGCCTTTAATTAAACGTATAGCATGCCAACAAGTGTAATCAGAAAAACGGATACAAGTACGGGAACGAAATAGATGTCTCCTTTATAGGTCACGGCCAGTGTTATAAACCTCCCACTGACAGGCACACGATTTACTAGTGTATAACCCCCACTAGCAGGGTCACTTAAACGAACCGGTTCTATCAATAACATGTCAACATGTGCTAGCGTTTATAAACCTCCCACTGGCGGGCACACGAATAACATGACCATATCGGAGACAAAACTAGGCAAGATTTACAGAAAAATCCATGATTTACAATCACTCAATTTCACGAATAACCCGAAAAATTTCCATGTGGGCATAGATTTAACAGAAAAATCAAAATTCACCAATCACTTTTAGATCATTAGGACAATCAATTAAATTTCAAGTAGGCATGCTCAATTTAATGAAAAGCATAAAATTTCACTGCAAATTAGTCATACTTACTTTTGTATAAAACAAGTTTAGTCCCGCCACCACTTCAAAAACAAATCAAAACATGCTTTTAAAAACTGTGTGGGCATTACCATAATTTACTTACCTCACTCGCATAAAACCGAATACTTGATCTCGATGCTAACTAACAGAACGATCAGAAACCTAATCAAAATATCCACAATTAATTATCATATCACCACAAATTCGAACTGAAATCATCATTAGGATCACCCCTAATCACGGTGCTATTCCTATCAATCTCCACATGATTAAACATCTCCAAATTCATTCTTATATCACAAACTAATCATTTAAATCCCCGTTAATTGTTGGCCATCTGTGTGTGAACAGTGTTCGGTGAACAGTACCACGACATGAACAGTAACTCTAACTTCCAAAAATTGGCCAAAACACTAGCTAATTCACGGGATTTTTCTCCAAATAAATCACAACAATCAATTAACACTCAATCACATAAATCCCACTTAAATTAATACTTAAACTTCATCCTAAAGCTACCAGAATTATCCCCAAATTTTCTATCAAATTCGGACAACACAGCCAGCAAACTATATGGATACTTTAAGCCTTAAAAGGCTCTAAACAAGGGATTTGTTGTCAAAGGTGCCCTTGTGACTAAGGTTGCTTGAAGAGATTGGAAGGAAGCCATCAATTCCTTCAAAGTATTTTCCATATTTTCAACATGATTTTCTAGAGCTGCTTTCTCTAAATTAGTTTTGTCAGCCATCTTCCTTGAAAGAGCTCTAATGAGAATAGGTGAACGAACTCTTGGATAATTCTTTTTAGGACCAATCTTTCAACACCTGAAGAAATATAAGCATTATTAATAAACCATGGATTTGGCATTTTGAAAGATAAGGTCCCAATTTTTCCATTAGATAAATGGATAAGTAAATCTATCTTCTAATTATTTGTTTTACACATGGATTCTTCGTCATCAAGAACAACTTTAGCCACTTGCATGTAAAGGGAAGGATAAATTAAAGCCAAGTAACTGTCACGTAAGCCAGAAAACATGAGGGGATTGCCCCCTTCATGACCTTCTTATTATTTTTTTTGAAAAGAAAAATAATGAGGAGATTGCATCCTTTATATCTTTTCTTCTCTTATATTGACGAACTTGCTTTTTCTCAACAAATAGAATTGAAAAAAAATGCTGGTGTTTCTTTTGACTGTACCCAATAAAAATCTAATATAAATCTAATAAAAATCTTCTCAAACCGAATAGATTAATATAGTAACCAAGAAACAAATGATGCGAAGAAAAAAAAAACAGATATAGAAAATTAAGACTCAAGATCCAAATTCTTCCATATAAAAAAACACAACTGTAATGGAGAAAAGCCAATTTATTTATTTGTTGTAAACTTCAAATACAAGATTTCTTCCTTCCTTTGCTTCACACTCTCGGATTTCTTCCCTTCTCCCTCAATTTTCGAATGTCCTCCTAAAACCAAAGGAGCCCCTTTTTTTATAGACAAAGGGAAAAACCCAATCCTAATGTGCTTCTAATACTCAATCCAAATCCCTAAGATAACAACCCAATCCTATTTGGAATTGGATTTCTTAGCTATCCCCTCATTTACCCCTTTTGAAGTCTAGATTCATACCTTTTGTGTTTGGAACTCCCCACTTTAAATCCATTTCAAACTCTTCTTTTGTGCCTCTTATTGATGACTTTCAATTTTCGAAAATTTCTTCAAAACTTGAGTAGATTTAGGGATAAGCTAAGGAATTTTTGTGATTTTTTTCTGTTTGAGAAAGGTTGGGGGTAGAGCAACGGGATGAGTCTTGGATGGCTAGGGTTTTTTATTTCCACCTACAAGCAAAATGACGTCGTTTTGTTGATTCCTTTTAGCACTTCAAGTTTCACTTTTTGGCAAAAATAGTCCATAGACCTCTAGTTTTATCATTTAGCCCCAATTAAAATTGGGTTATGATAGTAAGAATGTAAAATGTATATTTAGGATGTGATTTAAAAATTAATTGGAGGTTTGAGCTATAAAATTAAAATTTCAAAACAATTTTCTACCTCATGGTATTATTTGAGACCGAAATATGAGTTACACTTTTAAATTTGAACTTCATTTTATTATTTAAAATCTAAAATGAAAAGTAATTGAAAGGGAGAAAACGTTTTATATTTTATCATAATAATTAATTAAATTTTGTTTTGATGACAAGGATAATTAATTCAATGTGATTAATGTTAGTACGTTAAAAATTTCTAAATCTATCTCAACCATCTATCTTTAACCTACAAATTGAATTCTCCTTACTTATTACTCTTTGTGCTAAGGTTTCTCAAGAAGAAAAAAAAGAAGAAGGAGAAATCAATATTTTTTAACATCATGGTGAAGTTCAATATTTGTTTAGTGCTCATAGTTTTTTTTGTTACAGCTGGAGTAGTTATGGCTATGGAAGATCTTGACTTTATTATTAAAAAGTATTCTTGTGTAACAAAGATGGAAGTGAATTGTGTGCTTGAGGTTTTTAATAGTATATTTAAAACTGGAACAATAATTGATAAATGTTGTCAGGAACTCAAAGTATTGGGTCAAATTTGTCACAATGCATTTGTACTTCAATCTCTTCAAAATTCTAAATTCAAAAACAATAATCCATCAGTGATTTTGACTGTAATATCCCAAAATTTTGGGGTATTTTAGCATTAAATTGGGGACTTATTTGAGGAAAAATATTGTTTTGGGGCTTAATTGTAAAATCTTTAAAAGTTGGGGGACTAAAAAGAAAGGAAATTAGGATAAGGATGAATTGCTTTTTCTTTTTTCTTTTTCTTCCTTTCTTTCCCTCCCCATCAGACCCGCGTGCCCTGCTTTTCCTCTCCCCCGACCCTCTGCACCCGACGAGCTCCCCCGTTATCGCCACCCATTTTCCGGCCAGAACACCGGCAAAGCTTAGGGATTTCTCCCTATATTCTTGTTCTTGAACCCAGAAATCCCCCCTCTTTGCTGGAAATTCCAGATCTGCGTTGTCTTCTCCTCTCTGTCCGTCGGCCTCTGCTTGTGTGGGTGTGAATTCTCGGCTTTTCTGGTAAGAACAGCCATGATTTCATCCTTTTAGCTTTGATTTAAGTTGGGTTACCTTAATTTCCTCTTGTTTCTCTCAATTTTGGGTGGTTCCCGTGAGTACCCTGCAGCTTGCTGCCGGCTTCTTCTCCCTGCTAGCTCCGGTTTTGCTTGTTAAATTCCGGTTCCTGATTGTTCTGTCAGTTAGCACTGAGATTGAGTGCTCGGTTTGATGCGAGTGAGGTAAGTAAATCATGGTAAAGCCCTTCGATTTCAAAGCATGTTTTAATTGTTTTAAGATGGTGGCAAGGTTGTAATTGATTTTAAATTGATTTTACCAGCACCTGAGTGTGATTAAACTGAAATGGAAGTTTTGATGATTTTAATGAGAATTTCATGGTTTTTCTGGAAATGAGCATGATTGACTTGAAATAAGATTATTAGTCTTTTGTATTGATTTAAGCATGCCTACTTGAAATTTAAGTGATCGTCCTGATGATTTGAAAGCGATTGGTGAATTAAGATTTTTCTGTAAATTTCTGCTTGTCTTGTCTCCGATGTGGTTATGTTATTAATGATCCTGCTTTGATGAGTT